ATCAAAATTAGAGTGTGGGACTCACATTTATGGATTCGGGAGATCAAAAACATGAGGGGTAACAAGTTTCATCAAAACCCATTATGTATAAAGACATGAATCGGCCTGTCTTTACAGGTAAACCGGTATGGTCAAACCGGATAGTCAAAATTAACAGGAACTCATCAAATTGACATAGTGAGTTTACTCGTAGAACTTGTTGGGACATGGCAGTACAAAATGGGTGAGGCTTTTTCAGGTTCAGGTTGACCCTCGAACCCGTCATCTTCTTCGCCCATTTTAGGTCTAAACAACCTGAATAATAACAACATCTGGGCTACTATATACTTTCCATTTCAGGCCAACATTCAGTTGGAAATTGGTCATGAATGGACGGGGACCAAAAGTCGACCATTCCCTTCCGATTACCTCATCGGAATCCGGCCAAATCGCCAGAAAATGAGAATCTGAAATTTTGTTTGTTTGTTTGTAATCTTATAGTTTCTCATCCATAGGTCGAGCAGCCTTGGCTATAATACTAATTGTTAAAATCATATCAACCTTTTGCTCTTGAGAAAATAGAAAAAAAAATCCTTACCTGAAACTAGCAATCTTGAAGAAGCAACGACTACTTGTCTTTTCTGGGAGATCACATCAACCCCGTTTTAACTATTTGCTCGATGGGAGAGCTTCTCTGGATTGTGATAGGTTGCATGGGGTTGGGGACCCTCCTTTTTATAGCCATCTCAAGGAACGGTTACCTTCCCATCAAGGTAACACGTTCATGGCTTTGAATGCTCTGTGAACGTATTGGTGTTGAATGGTCATTGCAAGACCATTAAAACAAAAGAAGAAATGTTTTAAACATTTATTTGCAAGACTCCATGGAAAAATATCGTCGTTCAAGGTGGAGAGGCTTAGATGACTCCTATAGAATACTAGGTGGGTCAGAGCATAAAGGTTGACATGGATTCTAGTTGAAAATATTGGCATGGGTCAAGGAAAAGAGGCTTACATGACCCTAGTGGAATATTGGTAAGAATATCATCAATGAAGTCATGATTCAGTCAATATATATTTTTCTTACCTCACTTTCTTTCTCTTTAGATTTCTCTCTATTTTTATCTTGCATTTTTTTTTGCATAATTATTATTTAAATAAAAAATCTTTAATCAAGTCAAACACTCAATTAGCTTTTTAGAACACCATAATGTGAGAAAAACACCTAAAAGGGACTTTTGGCAAATGAAGCAATGGTTTGTACAAAAAAGCTTAGAAGAACCAAAATGCAAGGAAGTAAAGGATATGATGTGATGGTAGAGTCCCACAATAGAAATTGAGAGTGCACCAAGAAGGTTGAAACGTCTCCCAAAATGTGATGCATAAGGAAGTATTCAATTATTGGGAAATGCATAAGTACATGAAACATGGTGAATGGTAAGAAGGAAAAAACTATAAATTCAAGGGTAAAGTGCCTTTAACATTGACTCATATAAGAGTAATTATGCCCAAAGGGGTCATACACTAGTTTGTAGTGGGTACCCTCTTTCTAGGACCATCACTTAAAAACTTGCTGACTTTAAAAGGATGCGTGATGGAAGTGTATGGTAATGATTAAGGACTTACCTTACGAAATAGGTTTACCAAGTGTTTTTTTTGGTTACCATAAAATGTGGGTTTTGAAGTTGATACTTTGGTGCAAAAAATGTAGATTATGATTTTTAATTGTAACCCAAATAGGTTTACCAAGTGTTATTTTGCTAATTTCTCAAAAATCGAGGAGGTTTTGCTTTTCAGGATGAAACATGGCATGGAATGGAGGTTACAAATGACATGTTAAAAATCCTAAATAATTATTAATATAGGCATTGGATGGTTGAATCACCATTTAGGGAACATATTTCAGGGGTTGATCTCATCATCCTTTTTCTCTTTTCCCTTCTATCTCCTTCTTTTTCTTTCTCATCTCTCTCTTTTCTTTTTTCTTTTAAGCTCTTTCTTTTTCTTTCTCATCTCTTTTTTTTTCCTTTTAAGATCCTCTCACAACCACAAGGATGGGGATAGCTCTTTATATCTTTCATCAACATGAACCATGGCTTCTTATTGATTAGGGGGACTTAATTTTATGACGAAATGTATTTTGGAAGGGAAGATCAAGTCTAGTGGGTGGATGTCATCATGAAATATTCCATAGTGATTGATTTTTCTTAGCTGCCTTAGTTTCTTATAACTAATTCTTGATTCTCCTTCTGCCAATTAACTATTGCACTAGCCTTCCTTGAAAATTGTCCAACTTTCCTTGGTTATTCCCTTAGGTTGTGTTTGGTTTGAAGGAAAAAGTAGGGAAAAGAAGGGAAAGATAGAGAAATTTACAAACCTTGTATAACTTTCCCTACTTTTCCCTTCATTTCCCTACCTTTTATTTCAAACCAAACATAGCCTTATTGACAAAGTTGCTAAAAGGTCTTCCTGCTTTTTTTTGTCTTTTTTTCTATTTTTTCTCCTTTTACCTTTTTTTTTATTTTTCCTTTCCTTTTTATTATTTTTGCTAGAGCTCTTTCTTGATTGTTCTAATTGTACTTTACCTAGTTTTGACACCCATTTGTTAAGAGGTATTTATTGTGAGGAAAGAAAAGTTGATATAGAGCCTCAAAAGGCTAACTAAAGGACCTTATTTCATATAATCAGGATTGAATGCACAAAGGTCAAGCAAGCGGCCAAAGATGACATCCCTTCATTTCATTATCGACAGTGACACATATCGAAGAAGTATAGGCTTAGCAATGCAAATGTTTGGTTTAGCATTTCTTCACTCTTGGTACAACTAGGGTTCCTTTGGTAGGAGAAAATTCCCCCTAAACACTCTCATTCTTCATTCTTTCCTTTTTTCCTTTTTTTCCTTTTCTCTTTTCTCCTTCTTTGGTCTATTTTTTCTGTTTTTTTAATCCCTTTGATAGCCCTTGAGATGCATCCTATGGATTTGGCTAGTTTTTCAAAGAAAAAAAGTCTAGTGCATAAGTTCAACTAGTTTACTAGCAATTTTTGCAAATTCATAGGGTCACCAAGGAAATATAAATGACCAAGGATGACCTTCAATCCTTTCTTTGATCAATCGACAAAGCACTAGGTTAAATGGTGCCTTTATTCTTTGCCGGCTCAAGCATTATATTTGTAGCGAGTTTTATATGCTCTAACGGTTTTAATGGTACCCCAGTTTAGACAACGAGAGTGGCTTTATTAAGGGTTAGGGGTCAAGGATGGTTTAGCAAGTTGAAAGGAAACATCTCATAAAAAAGATTTTCAACTATAGAGTCTTGATTAACAACAAACTTTTTTCATAGGCATACCTTTGGGGCTTTCCACGCGTCATGAGTCGAATGCAGTTATTTCAAAAAGGGACAAACTCTACCTTTTTCTATAGGCAACTAGCCCTAATTGGACTAACTATTCTTTTATAAGTAAGCAGTTTAAGAAAGAGAAAAGGGAATGGGAATAATACTACTTTTTTTATGGAAGTGGTTGAACCCATGAAACATGTTGCTCTTGTACCCCTTTGAAAGGAATCAAGTGGCACGTAGTCCAAAATGTCTTGGAATGGCAAGAAAAGAGAGGATAGCAAACTATATACACAAAGGCAGTCTTGATGATTGGGCGAAGGGTAGAGGGCATTGACCCCCAACCTCAAATTCATGCAGCTGGTTCGAAGCTGAAGTTGATACCCAAAGTTGACAAAAAAAGCACTCATAGCATGTTGAAGAGACAATTCTTGTTCTAGGTAAAAGATGGTTCTTGAGGCCCCGAGAATGTAACAAGACCTTGAGTAATCAATTTCTAAACAACGATCTTGAGTTTTTTTTTTTGTATTGAATTATTTGCCTTTGCCCCAATAGTGGTCGTATTTCAATTTTCCTTGGCATAGTATAGTACTTTTTCTAGCACATTAATAACTCTTCTAAAAGGGGGTGAGAGCCATCAACAACAATTTTGAGTTGATGGCAATTATGAGTGGTGTGCCACGAGCTTCTATGATATTTACAATAGGCATTCTCATTACAACACTTTGGTTTATGCTCTAACGGGGTTTCTCTTGAGACACCTCTAAATATCCATCTTTAACCAAGATAGATAGTAGCTGGGAGTGTGGATAAGGTAATAGGGTAAACTCTCTCTCTCTCTCTCTCTCTCTTCCTTTAGAGAGCTTATTGTACCTTTAGAGTAGGTCTATAATCGGATCAGACTTGGATCAGATTAATCTAAATCCACGTTTGATTCGACAAGATATTAGCTGCATCCGATTCCAATCCAAAAATCTAGTCGGATTGTGTGAAGAGCATCTGAGTTTGAAATCGATCGTATTTTTTTGGATTTCAGATTTTAATCCAACTCTTACTGATTTCTCCACACCAATATAAATGTTTAGCTAAATAAAGGCCATTATAAAATTGTTTTTCAAAAACCTTAAACTTTTATTCAAAAGTTTTGAAATAAAACAATTCTTTACTTGAAACAAAAATAATTATTCAAAACGAATGAAAAGATAAAAAAGAATAGGAGATCGATCTGTAATCTATAATCAATTAAAGATTAATTTGTAATTTGTAATAGGATTAAGGAACTTGTCGTTTTCATTTAGTTGAAAAAATGAAAAGATTCAACGGTGGTAGCTTTGTTCAGGTGAACCAAATTCACTCTTACTGTTCGTGTTTGCTTAGGATTGGCTGACGGGGAGTTTGAGGAATAGATTTCCTCATTTACCCCTAAGTGACTTTATTTATGATAATAATGTATAATATATATAATATATATATATATATATGAGGTGCATCCGAGTTCGATTTGATTTTTAATCAGATTCTACTTTAACCATTCGAATCCAATCGGATACGACATGCATCCCATCCGAAACTGAGATTATTGGATCGAGCTGCGACTTTTCATATATTGTTGACAGGCCGTCTTTAGGGGGTCTCAAACATTTCATTGTATATGGGGCCATATAATCTATTGTATCCATTACAAAGGGTATCTGGCTGATCATATTGGCTCTGGTGCAATAACATCTGCTCAAGGAGAAGAATTGAGGGAACAAATTGGTGCAACAGCTTATATTGAATGCAGCTCTAAAACCCAACAGAATATCAGAGCTGTTTTTGATACTGCAATCAAGGTTGTCCTTCAACCTCCAAGGAGGAAAGATATGGACAGGAAGAAAAGTCATATAAGATATTTGGGTGGGGTTGATTGACCTCATGAATTTGGTAGGATAATTAATCGTAGCAACCAACAACAAGGTGACAGCATTGAGAAAATAATTTTCCCTTCTCATCCCATTCTTTCTCAACAATCAAATAGATCATGAGGAAGGGTGAGATGAAACTATAACTATAAAATTGCACTTCACTTCCTCTACATTTGGGTCGAGAATTTCTGCTCACACTCACACAAGAGACAACTGAAGCATAGACTTACATCTGCTCAACTGTCAATCTCCCCGATTCCGCGTAGGCCTGTAAACGGATCGAATTTGATTCGCTATCTGACGGATATCGAATACATCAATTCGAATTCGATTTCGATTATTAAATCGAATATTCGATTCAATTCGAATTTGACTGATTGGCGGAAGAGAAAATCCCATCCTTCATGAGAACTTCTTCTCCTTCCTTCACAAGAAAAGAAAAAAAATAAAAAGAACACAGAAAAATAAAAACCAGTGAATATATGTGTGAACCTGCAAAGAAAGAAGGGAGAGCGATGGATGCAGTAGAACTTCAAAGGGTGCAGAAGGGTACCTGCTGGCGCACATTACTTTTCTTCACAGTATGAACTCTGGAACAATGTTCAACACTGCCCATAGTTCTTTGGATGCATGGAGAAGGTAGAACTTGACTAAGAAATTTGTGATCTGAAAATTTTAGCATAAGAAAAGAGCTGAAAAATCTAAATCACTATCTCATTAGAAAAAGAGCTAAAAATTTGGAAAATTTAGCATAGGAACCAATCTGTAACTGTAAGACTATAATCACCTTGAGAAAAGAGGGAGGGCACGGCGACAAGCATGGGTTCTTGGCGGTGGGCAAATGTGAGTGTGTGACGGCGTGGGTTCTCGGCGGTGCAAATGCGATGGATTTCCAACGACAGTCGTGGGTTGCAACTGCAACACAAAGCTAATGATGCTGGACGATTGAGGCCAGAGGGTTGCTTGAGCTTGAGCAGCGACAAACGAGTGATTGGGCGAAAGAGGCGGCATTGATCTTGAGCTATGGCCGGTGACCGATGCTTGACTGCTATCACTGACGTTGTTGTCGGTAATGGTGGTTGCTTGGGTAGTGAGTCACAGACTAAGATAAGAGAGGTAGAGGTAAGAGCCTAAGAGGAAAGGTGAGATGAGCGACGACGACATCTGAACTCCAACGAAAGGCTGGTGGTTGGTCGGACGGTGAGGGGCGGTGACCAGTGATAGACCAATGGTGGCTACTCGGGCGGCAATCGACGACAACGAAGGAAGTGACGAACAGAGGGTTAGGGTTTTTCTTTAGGGTTTTAAGAGGTAAAACTGAAAGAGTTCGAATGTAAATTATGTAATGTTCGACTTTGACTTGAAATTTTCAAACTAATATTATTTTTCATTTTCTTTTTTTTTTAACTTTTATATTATATTATATTATATTATATATATATAATCGATTCAGATATTTATTGAATCGGATCAATGTATATCCGAATTCGACCCAATATTCGATTGAATTATCAGAATTCAATTCGATTAAATCGAATATCGGATTCGAATTCGGATTTTCGAATACGTTTACAGGCCTAAGTCCGCGTTCTGTGCGTGCACTGGACGCGTATACCCGCCAACGAGAGGCGACCACGTCGGCTTATGCGAGCAAAGTATAACGTTAACGGACCTTTACCCGTTACCTTTGTCCGGTTGAACCGGACATCATCCTCTCCTCCGAGCCCTAACCCAAGCATCTCACCGGCCACTCACCACACACCGGTGGCTGTGGAGCGGCGGCAAGAACTCCAACATTCCGGCAGGAACTCTCCAGCGATTCCATTATCCCTTATTCTTCTTCTTCCAATGTTATTTTTGCTCTTCTCTTCTCAACAGATCGAAGATCCCTTATAGTAGCTCACACTGGCAGGTAGTAGTCACTGGAAGATCCCTTAACAACTCATATTACCCTGTAAGCATTTGATTTGTTTACCCTGAAATTGTGGGTTTAAGGCTTCCGAGTCCAAAACCTCCTAGTTCGACTGGTTTTTATTTGATTGGAGCCATGAGATAATCGAATCTGCTTTCGACTTCGGCGGCAAAATCAACATCTTCTCCAATTTCAGAAACCGGATTCCAGGAAACCCATCTTAGAGTGCAGCTCAAATGGTGCCGAGAACTTCATTTTCTTCCTTCTCTTCTTCGTTATGTTGTAGGCAAGCTTCTGCTCATACGGGTACTCTCTGCCTCTGTTGTCGTTCTCTTTCTTCTTTCTCTAATTACACATCTGTGCCCCATCTACCAGACTCTAAAACCGTGGAATGTTCTTCCAACTCTGATATTCCCCACGAGGGTACCCAGTCCCAGTTGGAAATTATGGTGGCGGATTTATACCGATCAAGAAAAATGAGTTCTGACGATGCATTAAGTTTCTTCAATCGAATGATTGATTTGAAGCCAACTCCTTCAGTTTATTCGTTTAGTCTTCTGTTACGGGCAATTTATAGAAGCAAGCACTACAAAGGGTGACTAAGGGTCTTGAGGTGGATGTTTTCAGTTTATTCGTTTAGTCTTTCATTTCAGGGTGACTAAGGGTCTTGAGGTGGATGTTTTCAGCTATAATGCATTGATAAATGGATATTGCAGAAGTAGGAGGATGGATGAGGCTGTGAATCTGTTTGAGGAAATGCATCACAAAGGATTGAAGCCTAGTCCTGCTAACTATACTACTCTTACGCATGGATTATGCTAAGTAGGGAGAGTTGAGGCTGCCCAGGCTCTCTTCAATGAGATGAAAGACAAGGGAATTCTCCAGATGTGATCACATATAATTGCATAATCAACGGCCTTTGTGATTTGGGTTTGCTGAAGGAAGCCACAGAGTATATGAATGATATGGTGGATAGAAGAATTTCACCAAATGCCATTACTTACAGTTCTGTGATCCATGGATACTGTAACTTGGGACAGTGGCAAGAAGCGAGTAGATTGTTTGGTCAAATGATGGATCAAAGAATTCAACCTGATATTTGTAATATTTAACATACTGATGAATGTTCTCTGCAAGTATGGGAAAACAAAAGATGCACAGAGATTTTTAGAGATGATGATCCAAAGAGGGAATCAACCGGATATAATTACTTATAATACAATGTTAAGTGGATATTGTTTGGCAGGGCAAATGGATGGTGCTCTAAAGCTTTTTGATTCCATGGAAGCTAAAGGTCTTTATGATTCTATTAGCTACACTGTACTGATAAATGGGAATTTCAAGAGTGGTAAAATAGATGAGGCTATAAGGATCTTTCAGAAAATGTCTTATAAGGGATTAAAGCCAACAATTGATGCCTATAATACACTACTTGGTGGACTATGCCAATTTAGGAAAGTTGAGGCTGCACAGAATCTCTTCAATGAGATGGTGGAACAGGGGATATCTCCAAATGTTGTTACTTACAATTCTATAATTTATGGACTTTGCAATTCAGGGATGTTGGAAGAAGCCACAAGGGTTTTCGATGAGATGGTCCATAGAGGAATTACACCAAATGTGATCACATACAATCATTTAATCCAGGGCTTTTGTAATTCAGGGCAGTTGAAAGAAATGATCAGATGTTTCTATGAAATGATGGAGCAGAGAATTTCTCCTAATATCATGACATTCAACATACTAATAGATGCTTCTTGTAAAGAAGGGAAGATTAGAGAAGCACATGCACTGTTTGTTCAGATGATTCATAGAGGTGAGGAACCCAATAGAACATCATATAAAATATTGATTGGTGGATATACTTCAGTAGGCCTAGTGGATGATGCATTGAAATTATTTCACTATATGCTGGCTGACGGGCTTATACCAGATGATCTCACCTGCAACATGTTGATTAATGGCCACTGCAAAACTAAGAGAATAGATGAGACTTTGAGGTTCATTCAGGAAATGCATAACAAGGGATTGAAACCAATAATTAGTTCCTATAATACACTACTACATAGACTGTGGGAAAGTGGTCAAGTTGAAGCTGCAAAAACGCTCTTCAATGATATAGCACCTGATGTTGTTACATTTAACACAATGATCAATGGCCTCTGCAAGGGAGGGTTTTTGCAAGAGGCAAATGAGTTATTCTCACAAATGGAAGAAAAGGGTTACTTGCTTAACACAGTGACATTTAATACAATTATCCATGGCTTTTGTCTAAAGAATGAGATGCACAGTGCAATGAAGTTTCTCCATAAAATGGCAGAGAGAAATGTGCCACCAGATACCTGTACACTCTCCATCATTGTTGACTTACTTTCAAAAGTTCAGTATCAAGAAATTATGGAATCGCTTCCTAAAACATTTTTACGTGAGGACGAACAAGAAGGTGATATAATGAACATTTCATCATTAATACCATCTATTAAGGGGCATCTAACATCTGGTGGTGATTTGGGCAAATTATATATCAAATTAAAAAAATTCATTGAGTGAAGGTGAGTTATCTTTTCTATAAATGAAGCAAATTTTCCTTTCTGGAATTTGAGTTAGAACTGATGCATTTTTAAATCTGGAGCAGATCAGATGGTTGAACTGTTGGAATGACCAAACTCCATTTCTATGGTTCAGGTTAATCTGCAGGCTTTAAATTGGTAAGAAAATCATTGACTTAGTCAAGATCAGCCTGTTTGTCCCATTTCTAATTTATCATCTAATTTTTGAATGGTCAAAATATCAAACTTTTATACTTATCAGGAAAATGCCAAACTTTTATTAAGCATGAATGTTGTTAGGTTCCTTTATTTATTTTATCCATATTTTATAAATTTATTGCCTTTTTATTTTTTAATCTTATTTTCATTTTTTTATCAATTCTTTAATGTAGTTCTAATTTTGTGTTGTATGAAATATAAGACATCAAGGCCATATTCTTCTATTCTTTAACTTGGTGGACATGTGAATCTATGTTAAATCTAAAGTGGAATGCTTATTATATATATATATATCTTCATAGATTTTCTGTCTTTGCAAAGTCCAT